CTCTCTCTCTCTCTCTCTCTCTCTCTCTCTCTCTCTCTCTCTCTCTCTCTCTCTCTCTCTCTCTCTCTCTCTCTCTCTCTCTCTCTCTCTCTCTCTCTCTCGTACACAGGCGCCTAATTTAAATTATATAATTATAGTCTCACGACTGTAAACAGGAGTCGATAAGACAAAGTCATTGGTACTTGTTTGTCTCTGGTCATTAGTCTATTGAATCATGTATGTATGCAGAGGTATACAAAGGTCACGTGCGTCTACAGAGGTCATGCATCTGTAGAGGTCATGCACATCAGTAGAGGTCATGTATGTCTACAGATGTCATGCATGTCTGCAGAGGTCATGCACATCCCTAGAGGTCATGTATGTCTACAGATGTCATGCATGTCTGCAGAGGTCATACATGTCTGCCGATGTCATGTATATCTGTAGAGGTCATGCATGTCTGCAGAGGTCATGCACATCTGCAAAGGTCATGCATGTCTGCAGAGGTCATGCATATCTGTAGAGGGCATGCTCCTCCGTAGAGGTCATGCATATCTGTAGAGGTCATGCACATCCGTAGGGGTCATGCACATCTGCAGAGGTCATGCACATCTGTAGAGAGGTCATGCAATTCTACCGATGTCATGCATGTCTACAGAGGTCATGCATATATGTAGAGGTCATGCATATCTGCATAGGTTGTGAGCGCAGTATGAACGCGAAATCTTCCTGTGGACATAATAAGACGTTGTCGGTCTCTCCGGTTACGATTTGCTCGTTATATTCGGCGGACATATACGCGCACAGCATTACTGGCACCGCCTGAAGAGTAGAATCATTCGAGCGCGCCTGTATTGTTATATAGTTACCAAACGTCCGCACCGTCCAGAGTAGGATCAAGAGGGTACTTATATGTTAGCGTACGTGTGACTATAACAACGATAGTGAAGTCGGTATGATATCGTGGCTACGGTGCATCTGCGTGTGCGGGCGAGTTCGTGTTACATAGAGAACGGGAACGTTTTCGCGTTGGTGGGTCTGCCTACCTGCACGGTTGTAGTCAGCAGCCGGCGTAGGTGTAACACTGGCTGCAATACAACCTCCTAGTCACTTACGCTCGTGCATTAACTTGCGCGTTAGCTAACTGCCGCTGCTGCAACCGAGTGCCCCGATATACGTTCACCTTGTTTGCCAGATAATATCGTGTCAGTAATTTCATAAATATCGGCTTCGCGCCCTTGTTATGTAACATGCACAAGAAAATTCAGACACTATTATATATATATATATATATATAGAGATAATATAATAATTTTATATATATATATATATATATATAGTTATTTTGCTGATATGTTCCACCGTGATATCAAATCGACGTGTGTTTAATTATTATGATATGCCGTGTTAACGCCACTTTTACGCGGCTTCATTTTAGAGTTGAGGAAACAGCGGTAAAAGAAACGCGCAGTTGTTAGTGACACGCGTGTATAATACTAGTCGCAGTCGCGGCAGTGGCCGCGTGGCAAATCCTTCAGTAAGCGTGGAACAGAAATAGGTAACTGTTCCTTTGCGGTTATAGCGTCGACTCTCTGGGACCGTGAAAGTGCGAACCAACTACTTTAAATTCACGGCTAACCTGGACACAGTAAACCACGTTTCCCACAAGCACTCATTGTTGCCGACGAAAGATTGGAGTGAAGGAAGTCACGTTGGGACGTGGAACTGTATTTTCAAAAATAAGCGCCCTATGGACACACCATTTACACAACATCCTTGAGATTTTCAGCACACAAAGCAGGAAGCGGAGACGAGGGTAGGGTGTGCGTCCTGCACGCGCTTATCGTGCAGTTAGGATTGCAGGACACGTCAATACAAGCTTCTGTTGTTCGGTAAATTCGCATGTGTTTTTTTTCTGGCGAACATGTTCCGTACTTTGCTATGTAATGCGACATACGGCGTAATGTCGCTCTCACTGCAACATCAAATGCTGGCAGATATACTGTCGGCGACGTCGGAATGCGGTAAAACGACGCGAGGCTGCGATGTTTGACGGATCGCGGGAAAAGCCGCGTATGCCCTCTGAAAGTGTATTAATTAGGTGATGGTGAACAATCCATAGGTTACTTCATGTAGCTAAGCTATATTTAAGGTCAGATAATAACTTGAAATAACGATACGCCCGTGGAAGGCTCTGGAGTAGGAACACCGCTGCATTTGTTACGAGGAATGTAGCATAGTAGTAAGTCGTAGCAAATCTTGACATACAGTTAAAGCTAGTCAGCCCACGAACAAAGAGCAAGAGATTACAGGTGATATAAAGTGTGGCTAGTAATGTAACATGATGGGAACTTAGGAAATGAAAAGTACGGTCAAAGAAAATCGCGAAGTTATCGTATGGCAAGGTTAATCTGTCAACTTGATTGTTTGGGGAACGCTGATAAATTGTTGATTTAGCGTAAAATAATATAACAGTATCAATGGCAGTTCGGGATACTGTTGACTATCCAGCTCACTAGTGGTAGATTCAGTGGTGCACATAGATCATAGGCGGGTGAAGGTGCAAACGGATGGCAAGAGGCGTGTCCCTATTAAATAAACAAGAACCTACGTATGCGTGCCGACGCGCCCATTCATATAATCAGCTGAGACCCATTAAATAACCATAGGGGGACGGTAGAGCGGAAAGACATTATTGTAGCAAACGTAGATTTCCAGTAACATCTGAGTGAATGGACGTATAACGCGCCGCAAGAGTCATAGCGCGAGGACTGATTGAACGTTGGTCAGGGAAAACTGCCTTGGCCCGTAGCCTAACTCATTTTGCACTGGAGGAGAAAGACAGTATAGTGATTTACGCGACGCGTAATTCCTCCCCTTGTTTTTGCGCTCCTCTCCATTCCCTTCTTCTTCCAAGTGCTATTTCCCTCAAGATCGCTCTTTTACATCGTATACGAGCTCTATGCCTGGTTTGTCAACACACGCACACGCGCACACATCATAACACGCGCGCGCACAGGTTTCTCTGCTTCACTTTTCCTTGCCTTGCATTCTCGCTCATGGATAGGATAGCGCACACGACATCAATAGTACGCCGTATGTTAACTACGCGGCATGCCTCACATATTTCTATACATATATCGATAATGATATTAATAATATCTAGAAAATAATTTATTTATTTATTATTTATTTAAGAATATATATATAAATACTTTCGTGTCCATATCTCCTCTTTTCTTACCTCGCCCTTCGCTCAGTATAGCGTCCTTACATTTTGTGCAGAATCTTACGCGCAGTAAGGAAATACAGCTGTTCTGATTCAAGTTGCCAATAGACAATGTGTAGGCAATTTTTTTTAAATACATGGTGGCGACTATCGAACGTTAGCGCGAGTAACTAACAATTACTAATGAACCGCGGATTTATTGGAAGGGGAATTAATGATCAAAAATGTTTATTCACGTTGTAACTAATGTATCATAATTATAATTGATATATATATAAATATATATAAATATATATAATATAATGCTATATCAGAAGTACAGTATAGTGCAATAATTAATTTTCCAGCTGCCAATCGATCTCCGCTTTAAAACGGATAACGTGCCGAGGAGACGAGAATCAACACGTCGAAAGCGTTTTCATGCAAACGATAGGATTAGTTTATAGCTCCAAGCCACGCCACCAAAAAGCAAACAGAGGTACAATGCCACATGCCCTGAAAAGCTCCCTCGAGGTTCGGAATACTATTCTTCCCCCCCCCCCTACGAAATATACCAGCGTAAAAAGTGGAACGTTTCTTCGGACCTCGTAGACTGCTCTCTGATATTGTGAAATATTTACGTAAGGACTCGACCAGGGCCGTACGACGAGCAGGGGCAGTTGCCCCTGAAAGATTTATTACAGAGTATGCCTTTTAATGGACCAAATACTGTACCAACCTTTTAGAAATAAGAGAAATGGGACAGAAAATCGTAAAATCATCAAAGAAATAATTACACTTTAAAAATAAAGAATTGAGAAGCGCGAAACGTAATAGGGCCACCAGGAGGCATAAGCGGACTACCTTTGCACCTCTACAAGAAATTTCCTGCGCTACGGCCTGGTGAAACACTATATTCCACGATGGAAACCCATGAGACAGTGGTGCAACACCACGTTAAGTATTCTCTTTAGAACAATGTGACGTCCATTATATTTACTTATTTTGCCGCCATTAATTAAATATTATTTAATTAATATTATTAAGTAATAATTAATTGTTTAATTATTAGTGTACGCGTTGGTGGTAACAAGCTATCCGGTAATGTAAGCTGTACTTAGAAACATAGATGGACGGATATAAGCTAGGTAGTTAGTAGAGTAGAATGGATAGATTGTAGGATATATAATAATACATTAATATAGATAATATATACTATATAATATGTATAGATATGCATAGATAGATGGAGGGGATAGGACAGAACAAGACATATTATATATAAGATATATGTATATATAATACCAGGTTACTTGAACGTGTAACTTACGTGTTTACTTGAAGCTAATAGACGTGTGTAGATGGTTGTCGGTGGGACATAGCGGGCCATGCGCGGTCACGGTGACTAAAATAGATAGATAGATAGTCGGATAGATGTATGGATGGATGGATGGATCCCTTGAGAGAGAAGCCCGTCACAACATCACGAAACCTGTGAAAATCCGCCCTCGAACTTTTTGATTTATATGCAAACTTTATAATTATTTCGGAAGTAGATGGCGCCAGAATCTCAAATTTAAAAATGTCATTTCAAAATGCCATTGGATGGTGGCGCCCCCAACGAAAAAAACCGGTACATTGTAAAGTAGATAGATAGATAGAAAGATAAATCAATAGATACGTAGATAAGTAGATAGGTCGGTAGGTAGATAGGTAGGTAGATAGAGAGAAGATAGATAGATTAAATAAAGTATTAGATAGAGGAGTCGAAGGGAGGGAATGGTGGAGGAATGTGGATGGATGATGGAGGGATGGATGGAGGGTAGACTGAGAGGGAGATGGGGACGGATGTATGGATGGATGGATAGCATGCAATAGTGGATAAGAATAAATAGATAAAGATGCGATAGATGGTGGGTAGAATTATAGTAATAGAATAGATAGATAAGAGTAGGTAGGTAGATAGCATAGATAGATAGATAGATAAGAAAATAGATAGCATAGGTAGATAGATGGAGAGATAGATAAGATAGATAAGATAGATAGATAGATAAGATAAGATAGATAAGATAGATAGAATAAGTGAGATAGATAGATAGATAGAGTAGATAGATAGATAGATAGATAGATAGCATAGAATAGATAGATTAGAAGAGATATCATAGATAGATAATATTATAATATTAGATATATAAGAGATAGATAGTAAATAATAGATAGATGATAGAATAGATAATAGATAGATAGATAGATAGATAGATAGTAGATTAGAAAAGAGAGATAGAAAGACTAGATGATAGATGATAGATAGAGGGACGGGTGGATGGGATGGATGGATGGATAGATTGATAGGATAGGCGTAGATAGATAGATAGATAGAAGATAGATAGATAGATAAGATAGATAGATAGATAGATAGATAGATAAATAGATAGATAGATAGACAGATAGATAGATGCATAAGATAGATAGATAGATAGATAGGAATAATAGATTAGATAGATTAGAGAGATAGATAGATAGAAGAAGAAAGAGTAGAGAGATAGATAGATAGAGAGATAGATAGAATACGATAGAGAAGAGAGAGAGAGGGAGAAAGAGAGAAAGATATATGGAGACAGAGAGGGTGGGAGAGAGAGGGAGGGCGTGACATGCCGAGAGAGAGAGAGCGACAGAGAGGTGAAAAGTGAAAGCGAACGAGCGAACGAGCGAACGAGAGAGAGACAGAGAGAAAGGGGAAAGCATGAGAGTGGGAAAGATATATAGACAGGCAGAGAGAGATAGAGATAAAGAGAGATAGAAAGAGAGATAGAGCGAGAGAGATAGAGAGAGAGATCGCGAGAGAGCGAAAGCGAGAAAAAAAGAGATCGCGAGAGAGCGAGAGCCAGAGAAAAAAAAAGATCGCGAGAGAGCGAGAGACAGAGAGCGCGCGAATGCGAACGAGCGTCAGCGAGATAGAGAGAGAGAGAGAGAGAGAGAGAGAGCTCAAAGAAATAGATAGACATGCAGAGAGAGTGAGAGACATGTAGAGGGGGAGAGAGCAAGGAGAGAGAGAGAGATAATAGGGAGACAGAGAGGGTGGGAGATAATAATAAGGGGAAAGACGAGACAGGGCGAGAGTGAGAGCAACAGAGAGTGAAAGTGAGAGCGAACGAGCAAACGACAGAGGTAGGAGATAGATAGACATGAAGAGAGAGAGAGCGAGAGCGAGAGAGGTTGAGCGAGAGAGAGAGAGAGTGCGAGAAACCGAGAGAGAGAGAGAGAGAGAGAGAGAGTGCGAGAGCGAGCGAGCGACAGAGAGAGAAAGAGAGAGAGAGAGAGAGAGACGAACAAATTTGGGGTTAAAAACTTAAATCTAACCTACTTCTTTATTGATTTATATGTTATTGTGTATCAGACAAAACGAGCATTTATTATCTCTGCCAGCCAGTATGCTCAACATATACAGCGCGCATATATAAATGAATCACTTGGACTTTCGTCACGCCGTGACGGACTTCTCTTTCGCCAGATATATCACGGTCAGTATACACGTGGCCCGAAGCGTCCCCGCCATGTTCTCTCTGTGTTTTGTCGTCAAAGATTCAAGCTGTGACTACTTCGAATGCTCATAATTACAGCTAACGTGAGTAAATAAATTCTTGCTCAACTGAAGCGTCCGTAGCTGTTATATATGATACTTAATTCATGTCGTTCACTCGTTTAATTACAGCATATAAATGGATTAGTCAGGATAAAACCCACATACTTGACTGAGTTCAATTGTAAGAATTCTTTTCATGCGTTATAGTTGCATAAAGATGCGTGGTTATAGAATTAAATACTTAGCGATAGTGTATAATTAACGGTAGGCCTAAAGTCTATATATCAGTCAGTTTCTCTTGATTCACACTCCGCTTTCCTTGTTTAAGCTCACAATAATCACAATGAATTGATATATATATATATATATATATATAGGGCTACGCATCAAAGTTATTTTCATGCAAATCGCCAGACTGGAGGACACGAAGTTATCACGTTTTCGAGGCCGCGTCGCGCTGCGCACGATGAGTGTTACCAGGTCTCCCAGTTCAACATACCCCGAAGGTGCACAGAATAAACGTAGGGTTACTTTATTAGTATCTCTTATTATCTCATACGACTACACTTGCGCTATATTATAATATATGCATTTGTCCTATCAATGTTTACGTTCATTATGTCAATGTAATTTTCACTGGAAATAACGAGAAGACAAGCTGGAGGCAAGAGTTGCGGAACAAAAGTAGTACAGGGTATTGTATAGTGTGCGCGTCTAAACCACTTTATCGAGACTCTCAGTACTATGTAAAACACTGGACAGACTAGGCGTAATGCGAAGCAAGTCACACCCTGACTATTCTCGCACACACCACTTGTTTTCCAAATCATATAAACAGATATTAAAATATCAATTGGCTCTCAGTTCAGCAAGTTTTGTCTATTGATAGTAGCACGTAAATTTCAGCGCAGTACACATAGTTATCACGTATCCATGAGAGTATCTTCGCACCGTAGATATCAACGAAAGCATGCAGCGCCAAGTTTGCCAAAGAACCTGGAAATGTAAAATTATTATTCGTATCGAGACAAAATCCCAAAGAGTGTGCCCGTGTCCTTATTCTTGCAGTGGTCTTGCTCCTACTAAACATGGCTTCTGTCAGCGTTAGATCCGAACTGATAGTCCGAGAATGTCATACATTTATATTTCTAAATGGTAACTCGAATTGACAATAATACACCAGAGAGAGAGAGCTCCGCATTGACAATAAGACCAAAAAGTTCATATTTAACGTAGGTTATTATTATATATCTCAAGCAACAAACAATAATACGTTTAATCGCTATTTGTCTTATTGTGACCCTTGTTAGGAGTCATATTCAATAGCAACATAATTAGCCACGGAGCAAAATCATTGCTGGAGTACTAGAAATATTAATTTATTTGTTCGTTCTAAAACCACAAGTCCTTCTGGCTATAAACATCACGCATTCACGCGCACTTGACCGGAAGGCACTACTCTTGAGAGAGAATATCGTGCATGCAGTAACATTAAGACTGATCAGAAAGCCAGAGAGCGAAGCAGCACATAATGAACGAATTAGTAGACGACGTGAGTAGACCACAGCAAGATATCTTGAATGAGAACTGCGGAATGAAATAGTTCAGTAACAGAGAGTAAGTATCAGGGAAGATCATCGAGAGCAAACGACCGAGCGATAGAGTGAAAAGAAGATATTACCATGCAGAGAGAAGAGAGAGAAAAGAGAGAGACGAGAGATATATGATGAGAAAGATGATCATAGACATGCAGATAGGAAATTGGAGAGAAAGGGTACGCTGGAGACGAAAGTCAGAAAATGCGAACAAAGCGGCGAGTATAGATAATGCGACAGGAATATGAGAGCGATGAAGAGAGCGAGCGACGCAGATCGTAGCGCAACAGAGATTGAAGGAAAGGGGATCCGAGAGATAGTATGCGGAAAAGATATGAGTACAGCTCTATCCGAGAGCCGAGAGACATCACAGAGAGGCGATATCAGAGAGAGGGAGAGGATCTATAAGGAGCAAGGAGTGTGATAAAAGTAGAGAGAACGACTCACTAGATGAATGAGAATGGAGCAGCGTAGTAGTGATTCAGAGAGAGATAAGCGAGAAAAGGGCGGAGCACAGTATAATAGTAGCGAGATGACGATGAAATAATATATGATTTAGAATATAGCCTACAGACGGGCGCGCACACATACAACCCACAAGCAGTTCGCTGAGCAGCCGAGAGATAGAGAGAGATGGAAAAAAGATAGACCGACGAGTTAGAATACTCAGCACGAGACAGACGACACCAAGACGCAGAGAGAGAGAAGATATCACGAGAGAGCGAGAGACAGAGAGCCGCGCGAGTGAGCGAGTCTCCGAGAGAGAGAGAGAGAATAGAGAGAGAAGAGAAGAAAGAGAAAAAAGAGAGAGAAAAGCGAGAGAGAGAGAGAGAGAGAGAGAGAGCGGCTTCAGAGACACCAGACCACGCAGTGAGAGAGACATGCCAGAGAGAGAGATAGAGAGCAGAAGCAGAACCGCGCCAGAGAAAGACAGAGAGGAGAGCACGAAGCACAGGAGAGGAAAGAAAACCGCAGTGAGGAAAGAGAAAGCAGAGACGAGAAGGCGGACGGCAGAGAGGCACGAGAGAACGAAGGCAGAAGCACAAGAACGAGAGAAAGACACGCCGAGAGGCAAGAGAAGCGGCAAGTGGGAGAGAAGAGGCCGAGAAAGAGCCACGACGAATAACGGCACGCACACACGAGCAGAAGAGCGGAACGCAAGGACGTAGAGACGAGCAAAAGGTAATAGGAGAGAGAGAGAGCGAGAGAAGCACGACCCGAAACAAATGGGTGAAAAACTTAATTAACTCTAATTCTTATTGATTTTGTATGTAGGCGTATAGCACACAACGATCATTTTTATCCATTAGCCTGCCATATTTCAACATATACAGAGACGCATACGTAATAATCACTTGACTCTCGTCACCGCGGAGCGTACGGTTTCTCTTGCCAGATTATCACGGTCCATAATCACGGCCCTAACTCCCCGTTATTTCGATATCAAACAGCTAACGCGCCGAGTAAATAAACTTCTTCGCCAACGCCTAGCGACTTACCCGTAGCCTGTTATATATCATCACTTAAAGGCTGGAAACACGTTTACTCTAGTTCTAGGTTATTTCAGTTATTAGGTTAAAAGTACCACCATAAAAAGTTTCCTGTTAATTCACCATTAAGAAATATTATAGAAAAAATTTTAAAACAACGAACACACGATTGACTTAGCAACGCCACGGTCGGCGCCACATCAAAGTGCACGATCTGAAAGTTCGCGCAAAACCACTTCAGCCAAGGGCTACAACCGAGGTTTCTTATTATTAATTTAAAAAGACAAAAAGATTGTAATATCTTTTAAAATAATGACATATAAGTTCAGTATAGTATGATACAATTGTCCTAAAAATAGAACCACGTCCGATAAATAGCATTAGGTAAATATAATGCCCCTTGTGATTTGCCCACCTTCCGTCGTAACGCTGCAAAATAACATTGCAAATGCCACTTCAGGCTGGCAGCACAGATCGCGCGTGTCATGGCGCCGTTCAAATTTCGTAGCGTTGATGTGTAATTAATTATAACAATTAAATTAGGTATCTGGTAACAAATACGTGTGGGTATAGACGATTTGTTATACAGTAAGTACAGTTGTATGCAGTAAAATCCTAGAGTCTACTATCCCTTTAATTCATGTCATTCACTCGTTTAATTACAGCATATAAATAGATTAATCAAGATAAAACCCACACACCTGACTGAGTTAAATTGTAAGTATTCTTTTCATGCGTTATAGTTGCATAAAGATGCGTGGTTATAGAATTAAATACTTAGCGATAGTGTATAATTAACGCTAAAGTCTATATATCATTCAGTTTTTCTTGATTCATTCTCTGCTTTTCTTGTCTAAGCTCACAATAATCACAATGAATTGATATATATATATATATATATATAGGGCTACGCATCAAAGTTATTTTCAGTGCAATCGCCATACTGGAGGACACGGAGAGTTATCACGTTTTCGAGGCAGCGTCGTGCAACGATTGATTGGTTACCGGTCTCCAGTTCAACATACCAAGAGGTGCACAGAAATATACGTAGGTGTTATTATATATATATATGACAACGTTTATAATATATATAATTATTGTGCATTATACAAAAACAGTATTTATTATCTCTTTAACCTGTCAGCCTGGGCAACATTGCCAGATAGTCTATATGCGAGTCAATCACCCCTGACTAGTTCTCCACTTTTCGTTTTCCAAATTCATATAAACCAGATATTAAATTCATGCACGTCAAATTTCCAGTGCCAATCACGTCGCTGAAGGACTCGGAGAATCAACATGTTTTAGAGGCAACGTCGTGCACCGCTCGCCAGTTGAGCATACCAAAAAGTTCATATTTAACGTAGGTATTATTTATTATGCTATAGCACACATGTTATGAATCTATGTTATGAATCTGTTGGTGTTTTCTAGCATTAGCGATAAGTTGCTGGTACTATAGATTGTGTGGTTTTTAAAACCATTTTGTTCGTAACTCGGCTCTCGCCTTGACCGGCTACTTATACAAGGTGATCATATTAGAGAAGATGAGAGAGGGGAGAGAGAATGAGAGAGAGTGAGAGACAGAGAGTGCGAGGGCGAGCGATTGACAGAGAGATGGGAAAGCGAGAGCGAACGAGCGAGCGAGAGAGGTGGAAAGATAGATAGATCCGCATTCGCCAGAGTAGGATTCTAGAGGGTACTTATATGTTAGCGTACCGTGAGATATAACAAGATAGTGAAGTCGGTCATATATCGTCGTACGGGTGCATCACGTGTGCGGGCGAGTCCGTGTTACATAGAGACGGGAGCGTTTTGTCGTCGTGGTGGGTCGGCCTACCTGCACGTGTGTAGTCAGCAGCCGCGTCAGTGACTAACCACTCGGCTGCAATACGACCTCCTAGTCACTGTACGCTCGGCATTAACTTGCGCCGTTATGCCAACTGCGCGCTGCTGCACGAGGTGCCCCTGATATACGGTTCATCCTTGTTTGGCCAGATAATATCGTGGTCAGTAGATTTCATAAATATCGGCTTGTCGCCGGCCTTGGTTGTAAGCATGTCATCAAAGAAAATTCAGACACTATTTATATATCATAGTATATATCTCTAATATATAGTATATCTATATATATATATATATATATATATATATAATAGT